CCAGATTTCAGATAAATCCCCGCTGAATGTGTTCTCTCTCTCTAAGGATGCGTATTAGCAGTGATCCTGTTTTTATTGCAGATAATTGTTCTTAAAATCAGTGATTGTCTCCGTTTCTTTATGATGGAGACAGATTGCTGTTCATCAGCAGCTCGTTGCTGCTGGAGGTTTGGTGCCAGAATATTGGTTTTTCACTGTGAAACATTATTTTCTTTCAACACTTTTAGAAATATCAGCTTTCTAGAAATATTTAAGCATTATTTCAATCATTACATCTCAGAGCGCAGCCATCTCTGCTTTAAAGGTCCTGGTGTGGTTTGGTGACATGCAGGCACAGCTCCAGTGAGTTTGGAGAGTTTTTGACATTTTTGGGCTGCGAGTGTCTCTTCCTGATACATACAGTCTGATATTCTGTTCTAAGCAGTCAGTTCATACATGATGCATGAGGTCAGCCGTAGCTGGATAAGTTAATCCTTAAACATTTCTCTCAGCAGATTTAAGAAAAAGGTCTTTGCAGGATATTCTCAGTCAGAAAGCAGGTGGCATTTAGGAGCAGAATGGGGCGATCCTCTGTGAATATGGCCTCAGGGCATTAAATCTGAATTTAAGGCAGAAGGCGCAGCGCCGTCTGAAAGCTGGGGATGTGTGAGTCTACTTGTTCATTCTCAGTTCATCCAGGATCTCAGCAAGAATAAGAAACACAGAGCAGAAGAAAAGCAAACGTGCTGAAAATTATTTTAATATTTTAAACAAAATTCTTCATTCTGTCATACAGTTGTAAAAAAAAAAACTTCAGTTGAATTTAGAGGAACAGAAAGAACAACATTGTGATTTTCATGGTTTTTGTTTAGTTTTATCTCATTGGTCTTATTTCCTTTTTTGTGTTCTAGTTATTTTTAATTGTATTTGAGTTCTTGGATATATCTTGTTTGCCCTCTGCTGCCCTCTAGTGTCAGTCTCCTTCTCCCAGCTCCCTTCTAGTCTCCTCTGTTCACACCTGCTCCCAATCTGCTAATCAGCCTGGTCTTTGTTTCTCTCTCCCATTTATTCTCCTCCTGCTCAGTCACTCTCCGCTGGTTTGTCATCATCATTTTTTCCCCTTCTTGTTGTGCAAATTCTTGGTTTTGAACATTTTTGGATTTTTGCTTCTGTTAAACTTTTGTTGAACTTTTAGTTAATTAAAACCTTCAAGTAACAACCTTAAGTTTTTGTGTCTGCATTTGGATCCTGTCCAACAACCTCCTCCCCAATTGCGACAGTGATTTACAAAGCAGCTGAGTCGGACGTTCATCCTGCTTAAGTCTAAAGCAGCACTGCCTGCATCAAAGCCACACGTTAAACCAAAATACTCGACTTTGTTCCAGCCTCTTTCAAAGGGAACAAAGCGCGCTCAGCCAAAGATCTGTCAAACAGAATAATTACAGCAGTGCTTTTACCAGCAGGGGGCGATGCGTCCTTCTCTCTGTGGCTCTCTTGATAAAATTGTGGCCATAAAAAAAACTGGAATGCATGTTATATTGGCTCTGTTCGAAAACCTAGGACGCATCCTCCAAAGACGCGGTCTACCTAGACTGGATCCTCCAAGGACGCGGTCTACCTAGACTGGATCCTCCAAGGACGCGGTCTACCTAGACTGGATCCTCCAAGGACGCGGTCTACCTAGACTGGATCCTTCGAAGTCCTTGAAAATAAGGAGACCGGAAGAGTTTAGGCTGTGAATTCGACCAGGTCTACCCTTCGGCGGGTTTTACCGCCGTATGCTCTGTTGCTTAGCAACCGTAAACGTTGACACACAAAGCAGGAAAAGAATGAATACAGAAGTTTTCAACTGTTTGTTTATTTTTTATTGTAAAACAAACAAAGACTGATGAGAATCCAGAGTGGAATAAAGGTTCCAACCACCGGAGCAGGAACAAATCAAATCAAATGTAATGATAGAAACCTTAGTCAGTTAAATAACCTGCTGCTGTCATTCTGCACATCTCTGATGTTGCTGCTATTTTCAAATATCCATTACTGTAAAAATGTCCATGGCTGCATATTGGTTATTTATTCTACAGTTTTATATTGTTAAAACACTTTACAGGATTTTATTGTTTATATTTTAACTCTTCCCTATCATGTTATTCTTATACATTTTTCTAAGGTCCACATTTGTGTGACCACTTTCAATAATCTTTCTGCTGCTGTAAATCTGCCCATTGTGGGACAATAAAGGGATTTTCTATTCTATTCTATAAAAGGGTTAGAAAGATATAAGTAAATCTAAACAATGTATTTATAAAAAATATATCTGCAAAATCTCTAATATTCAGCAAATAAAAATACGTAGTTAAGCATATTGTGAAAAATAGTAATAAAAAGATAAAACTCCTATCAGATTTATAGTCCCCCCCCTGCAGATATATTAGAATCTGTCCTTAAATTCCAGCCAAACCCATTTAATCAGTAACAGATAAAAACCTTTAGATAAATCAAACATTACCGCCACACATCTGACTCTATAACCATTAAAACAACTATTTTCATTCATTTCAGACGGAACTATTCACAGAGTTGTATTATATTAAACTGAACTTCCAATTTTCACCACTGTTCGGTGCCAAGTAACCTTTCCTCTGATCACGGCTCGCTTGCTCTCGCAATGAATCCTGGGATATCCAAGGATAGCGAGGATACATCGGACCCGTCCTTCAAATCGGGCAAAAAGAAGGACGCATTTTAAGGCCGCATAACGAGGACTCTTGGAATCCGACCAGACCTCGGCGCCGCGCTATGACGTAATCGGCCTTCGAATCCGGTCTTCTAAGGATGCGTCCTAGGTTTTCGAACAGAGCCATTATCTGTGTTGCATCATTTATTGATCAAGTATCTATTTTTGAGGAGGAATGTAACTGAAATAGAATAGAATAGAATAGAATAGAATAGGAACAGCCTTTGTTGCCCCCCACTGGGGAAACCAACCTGTACTAGCAACAGCAAATTGGTAAGAAGGAACTTAGATTCACAAGGACACAAAAAAAAAAACTAACTAAGAAATAAGAGTCTGATAAATAGGGTGTAGAAATAAAAAATAAAAAAGTGAATTGTATTAATTAAAACACGGAATTATAAATTTAATTACCTTTTTAGAAACAAGTAAAGAAAAGAAATAGAATTTAGTTCCACACTCCATTCCACTTGTTGGTGGTTTTGAACCATTAGCTTTTGTTCTTCTCTTCATTGGCTTCCTGTTAAATCCAGAATAGAATTTAAAATCCTCCTTCTCACATATAAAGCCTTAAATGGCCAAGCTCCATCTGATATCAGAGATCTGATTGTTCCTTATGTTCCTAACAGAGCACTTCGCTCTCAATCTGCAGGTTTACTAGTGGTTCCTAGAACTTCTAAAAGTAGAATGGGAGGCAGATCTTTTAGTTCTCAGGCTCCTCTCCTGTGGAACCAACTACCAGTTTTAGTCCGTGAGGCAGACACCCTGTCTACTTTTAAGGCTAGGCTTAAAACTTTCCTTTTTGATAAAGCTTATAGTTAGAGTGGCTCAGGTTATCCTGATCTATCTCTATAGTTATGCTGCTATAGGCTTAGACTGCTGGAGGACATAGGGACCCCTTTTTCATCATTCTGCTTCATTCTATGGCTCTGTTCGAAAACCTAGGACGTGTCCTCCAAGGACGCGGTCTACCTAGACTGGATCCTTCGAAGACCGTGAAAATAAGGAGACCGGAAGTGTTCTGGCTATAAATTCGACCGGTCTAGCCTCCTTCTGCTGCCTCCGCCCCTCATTCGGTGTAAGGTTCTTTGCTTAGCAACCGTGACAGCTCCCGCACAGGGCAAGAAAAATAATGGTTGCGGAACGACTAACCATTGTTTTGTTAGGCAATCTAATTTTTGAAGAGCTCTAGCAGCAGTACCCTCGCCTAAGATATTCTAGATATCTGATGCTGATGAATAATCGTATTCAGGTAAAGTAAATGTCGTCATTGTTTTTATTTGTGTAACTACAGAAATACATGCAGCGTAATGGCAAGTGAAATAATCAAATATATGTAAAAATGCTGCTGCATCAAACGCCTTTTATTACTTTTGTCAAGATAAATGTAACTTTAAATAAAGTCATTTAAAATAACCGGGCCCTAAATTCAATGGGACACCTGTCCCTGGCTCTGCACACCTAATGTAAATGGAAAGCTGATTAACAATCAGTCCTCTAAATGAGGACTGAAAGGAAACATGCAGAATAGGCAAAGCTCTGGACCTCAGTGCTTTGAGTTAAAGAACCCTTATTTAGAATTCCTTTTTTGTTGATAGAATGAAAGACAATTTAAACTAAATTCCCTTTATTGTCCCACAATGAGGAAATTCTGGTGTTTAAAGTAGCAAGGAGATTATGGAAAAAATGGTTACACAAATGTGGACCTTAGAAAAGTGTATTTGAATAACATAATAGTGAAGAGTTTGAAAAGAAGTACATTTCATTGTTCTCACACATTCAAAATAATGTAAAACACATTGTTAGACTAATTTATTCTGTTGTTTTCTCGTCTATAGACTAGATCGCAGTACTGCAGGATCAACCTCAGTGTCCCTGTCCTCAATCGCTTCTTAGATGAGGAGGACACCAGACCTGATTTCAGACTGAGCAGGGAGTCTTTGGCAGTGCTCTTAAATCTCCTGAACCAAGATCGGCCACATGGATGGGGAGCCACTATTGAAACATTGGTGTTCCATTTTCTGGCTGGCAAGTGGTGCATCCTACAGGGTGGCGTCAGCTTCGTTTGGAATTCCACGTACCACTGTTCATGACATCATTCATGGGGTCACAAAGGATGTAGTGGCCATCCTTTCCCGGGTTATCTACCTCCCCAAATCTGCACAGGAGATAGATGTCGTGTCTTTTGGGTTTGCACGGCTGGCACGCCACAGAGCTTTTTCCAAAGCAGTGGGTGCAATAAAAGGCTGCCAGGCGGCGTTGATGGTCAGTGCTTTAGGAATAGGAAACTGTTCCCATCCATCATCATGCAAGCTGTTTGTGATCATCAGGGCCGTTTCATAGACACATATGTGGGTTGGCCTGGGTCAGTGCATGACTCCAGGGTCCTCCGACACAGCCCACTGTATAGGCAGTCGGTCTATCCTCCTCCAGGGTATTTCCTTGTTGCAGATGGAGGGTATCCCTGCCTCCAACACCCACCCCCCCTCATAGCTCCCTACAAGAAGCCGGTACAAAGTGTGGGAGCCCTGCGCTTCAATAGCCATCATTCCAGAGCGCGCTGTATAGTGGAGCGAGCTTTTGGAATGATGAAGACCAGATTCCGTGTCATCTTCATGCAAGCGCTGGAGGTGCACCACTCGTTTGTACCTTATGTAGGTTTTTGCAAAACCATGGAACTTTCCTGAACACACTACCTATATACATAACAATTAATGCTATAAATATTTCCCAAAAAAAGATGTATTTCTGAATCTGTAATTTGCCCCCCAGGTCATAACAGCATGCGCCATCCTTCACAGCATCTGCCTGGGTGCTGGTGATGTGATGTCACCAGACGATGAAGCAGAAGAGGCTGTAGATGAGGATGAGGGGGAGACAGAGCTTGGAGCAGTCAGTGGTGCTTGGTGGCGGGACCAAATCGCAGCTGAGGTGTCCGCCCTGGAGGAGGTACCACCAGACCACACCTACTGTTTGCAGGTAAACCAAAATAAGTGTCACGTCGAAGAATTGATGTGTCAGAGTGTTATCATCATTGTAGTATTAACACTCCATGCACAGAATCGCTTTTGCATGCCTTTGGTTTATTCATTTTTCCTGATTTCTTGTATATTAGTGATGCTGAGGTTGACTGTGCCCAGCCCTGTAAACCCAATTGGATGATGGCGTGGACGCTGCTTGATCCCATCCGAAAACCTCCACAGGCCACTGAGTGATGCTTTACTATCCAGAAAAAAGCATGCAGTCTATTGGAGCAACCCATCCACGTCGCTGGTCTTAAAGCAGAAGACACACTACCAGAGACCTCCTGCTTAGTTAACCATTAGACTGTTACCCTTTTTAGAAAAACATGCAGAGTCGGATAAATGAGGTCAATCCTGTATATTTACTATTGGAAATATTTTATCACAAGATTCTCCTTGAATATATCCTTTATTTCCTTTAAAAATGTTTGTGTTATGACCTCAATTCTTAGGAATTACACAAGTTACAATAAATGTTTATATTGTGGAAATAAAAGGTGGGTGCTAGTTAAGTAGATTTACTCAAGTAACCTTTTGAAAACAGTAATTTTACAGGTTTGAACTGTTTACCTTTGATTAAAATTCCTTGCTACTCCATTCGCTTAATGGAAACAAGGTTGTTCTAAATGAATATGCACCACAGAGGCACTTTTTGTTTTTTTTTTACTCTGCTTGAGTAGGCTTTAACAAATACTCTCTACTTTGACTTGAGCATTTTGTTTAAAGAGCAATTTCCTTTTACTTCAACCAGGGTAATTAAGTAGTGTTACATTTAAGTACCTTTTTTGGGTTCTGTGTCAACATCTGGTGGAAATGTGTTTGAACATTTGAGTAATGGAAGATGAAGGCTCACCAACAATAACTCATCTTCCCAAAAACAAGACATTTGAGACAGAATTGTAAAGAGTCATTTATTGGCTATTTTTTCCAGAATAGAAAAAAGCTTGTCCATCCTCTCCTTGCTTTCCTGTGCCCTCCTCTCCTCCACCTCCCTTTGATGCTTCATGTCCTCCTTGATGAGGTCCAGCAGCTCTGCGGTGGGATCTCTGTGCCGTTTCGGGCCCCTTCTGGCTGCTGGCTCTGTCTGGTAGTAGTCGTCCTCCTCCTCCTGGTTGGCCACTGCTGCACTTGACCCTGGAATGTCCTCTGGGATTGAAGAAATCAGGACAGGGGGTGTGATGGAAGCCCTCTGTCCCAACACTCGTCCATTTGGACAAACCAAGGCCAAGTAGCAGCAGTGGGTTTCCCACTCGTTCCCTCCCCTGACCCTGGGAACTTGCAGTCCTATAGACAGAAAAAAACAAAACCCAGTTCAAAAATCAAAGATCAACAGCAATATTTGATGACATGTGTTTATTTTTATTTTTTATTTTTTTGATAGTCAAAGCAAAGCTGACTTACTTTATATTTTGTTTTGAGGTTGTCCCATTTTTTCTTGGCCTGCGTGGGGCTCACCTTTCCCTCCAGGCCCATCTTCTCCAGAATGATTCTAGAACATACAGAACATAATTACTGGTTTACAAATGATAAAAGATAGTATTCAGTATTGCATAAAACCAGCATGGATGTTATATCATGTTTCCTGTTGACATGACCAAGGAAGAGGGAAGATTAAAACATGGGTTATGTTGTGACGAGAAAGCAAGGGGCAGATGCTGCTTAGGATGTTACTGTACCTCCGAGCTGTGTGGGCAGAATTCTTGGTCCCAGTGAAGAGACCCTCATTTTCCCCCCTGAGCTTTATAAAGAGCTCCGTCTGCTCCTTGCTCCCTATAAGAAATTAATCTTCAGGATGACGTGAACCATGTATTGTTGCTAGCATTCAGGTTTTTGTCTTGGCAGACGGAAAAATGATTAGAAGTACATTTTTACAATGACGAAAACATATTAAGGCTTCAACCGGATTCAAATGTTGACATGTGAAGTCAGGAATTATCTAATATGTTCTATTCCGTTTTATGGATATATGGACTGGAAATGGAAATTAGGAGTGTGGATAAATATGTATTGAATCCAGAATAATGGGATGCGTAAACATATGTGAATATGAAAATGTTTCAGCCTGCTATGCTTGGAAAAAAGGGAGGTGGATGTGGCTGGTGGATGCCATTTGATTGCTTATGTTTGGTTCTTAGGGAGAGAACATTTAATTCCCCCTAATGCCCATTCCAATCAAATTAATTAAATCATATTGACGTTCAAAGACATTTAACTGCATTTTGGTCATGCCTACCAACAAGTGCTGACAGAATTTCACAGGTCAAATGCACTTACATTTCAGCGCGTATTTTTCAACTTGCGTTGAAGAAGCTGTTCCAACATGAAACAAAACAGGATTACAGAATATGAAAACTTCTACAGTACTTCTTTAGAGCACCGAATGAGAAATTTAATTATTTATATAACATAATTCCATAGGTGTGCCACACTGCACAGATATTCGAAATTATCCTTGATTGCCAACCAAACACATTTGGACAAGGCAAATTAATCATTCAATGAACCAAACATTACCTGTGACATAGGTAATTCAATTATCATTTCAATAAAAAAATAGGTTCAGTAATTTCAGACGAAAATATTCACAATACTTGTATGATATCAAGGTGTACTTACAACTTTCGCCACTATTCGTCGCCATTTTTTGTTTTTCCTCCGAGCTTGTAGCATATTTATAGGGCTTGCTTGGTCTCGCAATGAATCCTGGGATATCCAAGGATGAGAGGATACATCGGACCCGTCCTTCAAATCAGGAAAAAAGAAGGACGCATTTTAAGGCCGCATAACGAGGGCTCTTGGAATCAGACCAAACCTCGGCGCCGCGCTATGACGTCATCGGCCTTCGAATCCGGTCTTCTAAGGATGCGTCCTAGGTTTTCGAACAGAACCTATCTCTATTCTCCCACTCTGCAGAATCTATTAGTTCAATCTCTAACATTCTGCTCTCTCTGCTTTTTCTCATAGTAGCTTCATCTGGTCTGTTCCTGTTTGGCTGTGACTCCATCCTGGAGAGAAATATCAGCTGTGCTGCTGCCATCAACACCTTTGTTTCTAGATGTTGGAGCTTGGCCTGTTTTCCAGTGTAGTCCTGTTTCTCTGACTGTGACTAACTGGATGTGCTCTCTTCATCCTCTGACATGGGAGCTGGCTCGGAGCTCGTCTGCCTGGCTGTGTGTTTCCTGGACGGGGCCGCCTGTGGAGCTGGTTGACAGTTGCCTTTTGTATCTATGCTTCTTTTTCTATGTCTGCTTCTGTCTCCTTGAACCCCAGTGGGCCTCAGCAGATGGCCGCTCACACTGAGCCTGGTTCTGCTGGAGGTTTCTTCCTGTTCAAAGGGAGTTTTTCCTCTCCACTGTCGCTACAAGCATGCTTAGTGTGAGGGATTGCTGAAGAGTCAATGAGTCGATGCAATCAGCTGGTTTTCCTTAGATAGAAAACTTTGAATCAATCTGACTGGATGATCTGGTTGAACTGGATCTATAAAGTGACCTGAGATGACATGATGTGAATTGAAGCTATAGAAATAAACTGAAACTAAATTCAGTGAACAAATCGGTTTGGAGAACAGCTGACTGATTGAACCTCAGTCCTACGTCAGTCTGGAGAAAATGTTTGTTCCTGAGAGAAGGTTAGAAAAATGCTGAATGTGGCCTTTTTCTCCTAAATAACTCATGCAAATGATTGAACGTCTTCAAACCAACCGGGTTTGGTCTGTGACCCGTTTTAAATGACAACTAATAACTCAGAACGCATGAAAATTACAACAGTAAAATGTTTACCAATATAGACATGTTAGACATGGCTGGAAAGCTTAGATTCTCCACAATCTAACCACCGAGTTCATTTCATAGACACAGCGAGCAGCAAAGCACAATTACCACAGATTTAGCAGCATGTCAACATGTAAACAAACAGAGCAGCCACAGCTAGCAAGCATGTCTTCATTACTACTGTTCAAAAAACACCTTTTATTCTGGAGAATAGAATAAAACTACTTTGAACTGATGCAGCTTGTTTTATTCACCCAATTTCCTTATATATTCAGAAACTAGAAGGTGGGAACTTTCAAATAATGTATCACACATTTAATTTGGGCTTACAGTCCCTCAGTTATTTGCTTTTCCATTTGGGTTTGGAAAATAGGCGAGAATTACCCAAAATGAGGAGGATGTTTAGTATTTGTTCATATTTTGGGCCTGTTGAGATGATAAGCAACAGCAGCAAAAAGAAGCAGAAAAAATAGATATTCAGAACATGAAGTAACGTGAAAACAATGGAAATATTAAAGTCCATTTTTATACTTAAAGGAATAAAGTCAGAGAAAAATAAATTAATAGATTGGTTTTTGACTAAGCAGGAAACCCAGCGTACCTGGAGAGAACCATGAAGGGAAGGAAAGGAAAGGAAAGGAAAGGAAAGGAAAGGAAAGGGAAGGGAAGGGAAGGAAAGGAAAGGAAAGGAAAGGAAAGGAAAGGGAAGGGAAGGAAAGGAAAGGAAAGGAAAGGAAAGGAAAGGAAAGGAAAGGAAAGGAAAGGAGCAGTTTAAGTCGGCTAACCAACTTCCTGGTTGTTCCTAAGTAAAGTGTTTTGTTTGGGAACCACAGTGGGGAGCTGGTCCACCTGCCAGCGAGTATGCATCTGATAGAAACCTATGGAGATCCTATCCAAGCCACTGCTGATGCCAGAGACGATCTTGTTCCAAATCCCATGGGGCTCTTTGATTTTTAAATGGGTTTGAAGGTAACCCAGTAATAAAGCATCAAATGATGTGTTCAAATCCAGGGCTGCATGCAATAGTTTTTGAATATTCCCATATTCGTTAAAGATGTCCTTTGAAATCCTTTCGGCGAGCAATTCCATCTGTTGGACCTGCGGCCGAGAGCCAGAACTGGTTTTACTGGGGCAGTGTGTTATTACCTGGTAGAGACGTTGCACTATGGTTCGATGAGCACCTAATGGGAGAGACCTGCCAGCGGCCTTTGAGCTGTTTAACACATTTTTAATGAGTAGAGCCAGAAAAACAGCATTGGGGTTCTCAGGCTCGTTATCCCACGGATTACGGACGGTAAAATTTAACGAATACACACATTCTCTCTTTTTCACTCCCAGCTCTTTTGTCAGACTTTTCATTAGATGGGATTCAAAAACGCGGTTGCTCGCCATGGCGGCCTGAAGCAAGTATTTAGCTGCGCCGAATGTTTTATACAGGTTCGTAGAAACAGTTTTTACCGTGTCTGTTAGATTCTCCTGCAGAATGATCTCCAGACACGGCTCTTTGGTCCACATTATCAGTTGGGACAGACGGTTTCTCATTTTGGCCAAACAGCCTTGGTAGAATTCATCCTGAACTTTTCGGGGGCAGTTCATCATGTTTCTCCAAAGCAAAACAGAGAACAGAGCATTTACCTTGTCCTGTTTTCCAGGGCGAACAAATGACAGATCAGCTCCAAGTTTATTTTCCATTTCTGAAACAATCTTTCTCACTATTTGGCAGACAGAAAATAACAGCAACCTCTCTGCAGGAAGTTCCAGCTGTTCTGAGATGCACAATTCTACCGGCTGACCTCACCATAGAACCGCCTCTGTGACGTCACAAGGTTCCAGGGGAGGGGCTTGTGTGGGCGGGATTATTAGTCGAATTCTAAGAAGAAAACAGACCAAGATTTATATAAAATTAATAAATGTATATTTATACAGTGTGTAAATAATAAATATAACAACTGACGTCATTTTAATTAGTTTTATTGTTTTTGTAAAGATCAATTCCTCCTCAGTTAGACCAAAAGAAAACATGATTATCAATGAAAGAGCCCCAGAAAGTGCAGAAAATGGTTTGTTCCAGCCTCAGCGCTCTCTGGTAACAGTCAGGAGATGCGCCAGAAATGAAGGGCAGCGATGAGATGCCACCTAGAAACATCATCCAGTCAGGAGAGAAAGAGGAAATCCCCAGAAAGGGCAAACCCAGGGCCGCTCCAACCTAAAGGCGCAGCGCGCTGAGCCTCATGCTTCCGCTGGGGCCACATTAGCGCCTGTAGCGCATCTGCGCAATGGATGCGCCATGTTGTGCATATGCGCTATACTGGAGGAGAGAGAGAGACAGGCTGCGATCTGAGCGCGCGGTGCAGGGCCGCGCTCATCTGATGGTGGAGCGCGTGCAGGCAGCCATCAACATGTCCTCTTAACAAAAGCAGAAAAAAGGCCAAACATGGAGAAAGTTGGGCTTCCTTTGCAGGAAGGAGCCTTTAGGAGCAGGAACAGCCAGTTTCCTCTCAGAGGGGATTCTATTTCCAGCCTCTGTCTAAACTGGAGAATTTCACTCATTATTAAATGTTCATTCCTTCACCTCTGCTGAGACAGAGCCGTCAAATAAGAGCTATAAACTTTACCCACAGATAATATATTGGCTCTAGTTTGATATCAACTTGTTAAGAATTTCAATCTGAAAAACTCACAGGGAGAGAAAAGACAATTAGAAGAAATTTATTGAGACAATAACTTTAGTCTTTGGCGCTCAGACCTCGGCAGGAAACATAGCGCTGAATTCTGATAGATATGCATGAACAGGAGTAAAGAACAGGGCTGTTCCCCCCCCAGGTCTGAAACTGGTGGAGGAGTGGAGATAGATGGAGTTGGTCAGTCTGTAGACTGCTGGTTGGAGAGACGGTCTGCTGAGCTTTATGGGGAGATCCAGTGGACTGCGTGAGCTGATACTAGAGCTTCACTTCCTGGAAGATGGAAGTCCAGCTGGATAACACAGGATGAGAGAACCTGTCCATGATGAGCAAGCATGAGGCGACAGTGGAGAGGAAAAACTCCCCTTTAGGAAGTTACCTCTGACAGAACCAGGCTCAGCATGGCGGTCTGCTGCCGGACCGGTTAAAATGAGACAGATAATGCAGTGAGAGTCCAGGAGGAATGACGCTCTGATGAAGCTTTAGCTACGATGGTGGAGGAGGGGCTGGAGGGGGGAGGAAACGGGGTCATCTGAATGAAGTCACAGCGCATCCACCCCCTGCAGCGCATCCGCCCCCTGCAGCGCATCCGCCCCCTGCAGCGCATCCGCCCCCTGCATCGCATCCGCCCCCTGCATCGCATCCGCCCCCTGCAGCGCATCCGCCCCCTGCAGCGCATCCGCCCCCTGCATCGCATCCGCCCCCTGCAGCGCATCCGCCCCCTGCAGCGCATCCGCCCCCTGCATCGCATCCACCCCCTGCAGCGCATCCACCCCCTGCAGCGCATCCACCCCCTGCAGCGCATCCACCCCCTGCAGCGCTTCCGCCGCCTGCAGCGCATCCACCCCCTGCATCGCATCCGCCCCCTGCAGCGCATCCACCCCCTGCAGCGCATCCACCCCCTGCAGCGCTTCCGCCGCCTGCAGCGCATCCACCCCCTGCAGCGCATCCGCCCCCTGCATCGCATCCGCCCCCTGCAGCGCATCCGCCCCCTGCAGCGCATCCACCCCCTGCAGCGCATCCGCCCCCTGCAGCGCATCCACCCCCTGCAGCGCATCCGCCCCCTGCAGCGCATCCACCCCCTGCAGCGCATCCACCCCCTGCAGCGCTTCCGCCGCCTGCAGCGCATCCGCCCCCTGCATCGCATCCGCCCCCAGCAGCGCATCCACCCCCTGCAGCGCATCCACCCCCTGCAGCGCATCCACCCCCTGCAGCGCTTCCGCCGCCTGCATCGCATCCACCCCCTGCAGCGCATCCGCCCCCTGCATCGCATCCAACCCCTGCAGCGCATCCGCCCCCTGCAGCGCATCCGCCCCCTGCAGCGCATCCGCCCCCTGCATCGCATCCACCCCCTGCAGCGCATCCGCCCCCTGCAGCGCATCCGCCCAATGCAGCGCATCCGCCCCCTGCATCGCATCCGCCCCCTGCAGCGCATCCGCCCCCTGCATCGCATCCGCCCCCTGCAGCGCATCCACCCCCTGCAGCGCTTCCGCCGCCTGCATCGCATCCACCCCCTGCAGCGCATCCGCCCCCTGCAGCGCATCCACCGCCTGCAACGCATCCGCCCCCTGCAGCGCATCCGCCCCCTGCAGCGCATCCGCCCCCTGCAGCGCATCCGCCCCCTGCAGCGCATCCACCCCCTGCAGCGCATCCGCCCCCTGCATCGCATCCGCCCCCTGCAGCGCATCCGCCCCCTGCAGCGCATCCACCGCCTGCAGCGCATCCACCCCCTGCAGCGCATCCACCCCCTGCATCGCATCCACCCCCTGCATCGCATCCACCCCCTGCATCGCATCCACCCCCTGCAGCGCATCCGCCGCCTGCAGGGCATCCGCCGCCTGCAGCGCATCCGCCCCCTGCAGCGCATCCGCCGCCTGCAGCGCATCCGCCGCCTGCAGCGCATCCGCCGCCTGCAGGGCATCCGCCCCCTGCAGCGCATCCGCCGCCTGCAGGGCATCCGCCGCCTGCAGCGCATCCGCCCCCTGCAGCGCATCCGCCCCCTGCATCGCATCCACCCCCTGCAGCGCATCCGCCGCCTGCAGCGCATCCGCCGCCTGCAGCGCATCCGCCCCCTGCATCGCATCCGCCCCCTGCAGCGCATCCGCCCCCTGCAGCGCATCCGCCCCCTGCATCGCATCCGCCCCCTGCAGCGCATCCGCCCCCTGCATCGCATCCGCCCCCTGCAGCGCATCCACCCCCTGCAGCGCTTCCGCCGCCTGCATCGCATCCACCCCCTGCAGCGCATCCGCCCCCTGCAGCGCATCCACCGCCTGCAGCGCATCCGCCCCCTGCAGCGCATCCGCCCCCTGCAGCGCATCCGCCCCCTGCAGCGCATCCGCCCCCTGCAGCGCATCCGCCCCCTGCAGCGCATCCGCCCCCTGCATCGCATCCGCCCCCTGCAGCGCATCCGCCCCCTGCAGCGCATCCACCGCCTGCAGCGCATCCACCCCCTGCAGCGCTTCCACCCCCTGCATCGCATCCACCCCCTGCAGCGCATCCGCCCCCTGCAGCGCATCCGCCGCCTGCAGGGCATCCGCCGCCTGCAGCGCATCCGCCCCCTGCAGCGCATCCGCCGCCTGCAGCGCATCCGCCGCCTGCAGCGCATCCGCCGCCTGCAGGGCATCCGCCCCCTGCAGCGCATCCGCCGCCTGCAGGGCATCCGCCGCCTGCAGCGCATCCGCCCCCTGCAGCGCATCCGCCCCCTGCATCGCATCCACCCCCTGCAGCGCATCCGCCGCCTGCAGCGCATCCGCCGCCTGCAGCGCATCCGCCCCCTGCATCGCATCCGCCCCCTGCAGCGCATCCGCCCCCTGCAGCGCATCCACCGCCTGCAGCGCATCCACCCCCTGCAGCGCATCCACCGCCTGCAGCGCATCCACCCCCTGCATCGCATCCACCCCCTGCAGCGCATCCGCCGCCTGCAGGGCATCCGCCGCCTGCAGCGCATCCGCCCCCTGCATCGCATCCACCCCCTGCAGCGCATCCGCCCCCTGCATTGCATCCACCCCCTGCAGCGCATCCGCCCCCTGCATCGCATCCGCCCCCTGCATCGCATCCACCCCCTGCATCGCATCCGCCCCCTGCAGCGCATCCGCCCCCTGCAGCGCATCCACCCCCTGCAGCGCTTCCACCGCCTGCAGCGCATCCACCCCCTGCAGCACATCCGCCCCCTGCATCGCATCCACCCCCTGCAGCGCATCCACCCCCTGCAGCGCATCCACCCCCTGCAGCGCATCCGCCCCCTGCAGCGCTTCCGCCGCCTGCAGCGCATCCGCCGCCTGCATCGCATCCGCCGCCTGCATCGCATCCACCCCCTGCAGCGCATCCACCCCCTGCAGCGCATCCACCCCCTGCAGCGCTTCCGCCGCCTGCAGCGCATCCGCCGCCTGCATCGCATCCGCCGCCTGCATCGCATCCACCCCCTGCAGCGCATCCACCCCCTGCAGCGCATCCACCCCCTGCAGCGCATCCGCCGCCTGCATCGCATCCACCGCCTGCATCGCATCCACCCCCTGCAGCGCATCCACCCCCTGCAGCGCATCCGCCGCCTGCAGCGCATCCACCCCCTGCAGCGCATCCACCGCCTGCATCGCATCCGCCGCCTGCATCGCATCCACCCCCTGCAGCGCATCCACCGCCTGCATCGCATCCGCCGCCTGCATCGCATCCGCCGCCTGCATCGCATCCACCGCCTGCAGCGCTTCCGCCGCCTGCATCGCATCCACCGCCTGCATCGCATCCACCGCCTGCAGCGCTTCCGTCGCCTGCATCGCATCCACCGCCTGCATCGCATCCACCGCCTGCAGCGCTTCCGCCGCCTGCATCGCATCCACCGCCTGCAGCGCATCCACCCCCTGCAGCGCATCCACCCCCTGCAGCGCTTCCGCCGCCTGCATCGCATCCACCGCCTGCAGCGCTTCCGCCGCCTGCATCGCATCCACCACATGCAGCGCATCCACCCCCTGCAGCGCATCCACCCCCTGCAGCGCTTCCGCCGCCTGCATCGCATCCACCGCCTGCATCGCATCCACCCCCTGCAGCGCATCCGCCGCCTGCATCGCATCCACCGCCTGCATCGCAT